CCTAAACCCTAAACCCTAACAAGAAAATGGGAGGAGGCCCGTTCGAGAGCTCCCGAGCTTCTCGAGAAGGATGCATCCGCCACACAACTCAGCGGTCTCTACACAGAGACTAGGTGGCAATTTGGGAAACTTTAGGGTTTAGGGTTTAGGGTTTAGGGTTTAGGGTTTAGGGTTTAGGGATTTCCCTTATGGTTTCTTTAGAGGTACCTATTCATAAATACTTTTCAGGTCCCTAAAACTAGTACAACCCAGGAGATGACGGCCGGCGCGAGCTGGCTGAGTTGGCTGGTGAAGAGTCCGAAGGCACCAGCTTTTTTAGCACTAGGATTTAGGGTTTTAAGGTTTTAGGGTTTTAGGGTTTAGGGTTTAGTGTTTAAGGTTTTAGGATTTAGGGTTTAGGGTTGAGGGCACGATGTATGGAGGGTGCTGTAGTACAGGGTCACCCCTCCAGCCCTCCTCAAGGGAGGGGGGGAGCGGTGCTTGCCGTTCGGTAGTTTTCGGTACAGTGTACTTTGCTGCACGGTTCCCGTCGGTACGGCACGGTTCCGGTGCGGTACTGCGATGTACCAGCAAACCGGTAACACGTGTAGTAACCCTTTGAAGGACCCCTATTTACCCTACTTCAATCTTCAAGGCCCTGTGTTACGGTCGGTTCGGATCTTGGGGCTGGGGTTCTCAAGCCTTCAAGAGCTAACTGCCTAAACAGATCCAACCGGCTCCTAACCCAAAGCGATATGCTCGGCATCGGAACTTTGAGTCAGCCAGGAGACCAGCCTTCAGCCCGAATCCCCTTAGACCCTTAAACCCTCCCGCAGCCAAGCTTATGGTTTAGGGTTTAGGGTTTAGGGTTTAGGGTTTAGGGTTTAGGGTTTAGGGTTTAGGGTTTAGGGTTTAGGGTTTAGGGAACCGCTTGTAGTCAAGAGATCGTAGAATCCTGCGAGGAGGCCCAAGGGCTAGCAATGGAGTCGGCTGCCGCTGGCTGCGAACCTGCCGCTTACCTATAAGTGCAGTAGCCGTAGGTTCTGCATGAAGATGCCTGAGTAAAGGTTTTCCACGGACGTGGCTGTGTTTGTTGCGGAGTTTGCGAGGGCGATTGGGGTCCGTCCACGGAGTCCGACACTCATGAACCACGGGTAGTTCTCTAAATCAGGGTCCCTTTTAGAGTCCTTTTTATAAGGGTGCTGTACTATATTGCGGACCGAAAAAGGGACCAGAATTTAGAGCACTACCCACACAGTAAATGCCAGAAAGTCGGGATATGGGTTGCGGATGATGAGAGCTGGGGTTCGTTACCTCAAGTTCATGATGACAAGAACGTTCAACACCTCCTGGCTTCTACTCTACACCCGAAGCCCAGAAGTAGGCGGTCGGCTCCTCATGGCAAGCCGCAGCCCAGGACAAGTTCAAGAGTGCGTACCAGGCCAATCATGACAAGAAGACGGCTGCCGATGAGGTTCCTGAGCCCTGGAGGTTAAGTGTTTCGGGGCAGGGCCCCTGAACCCTGAACCCTAAACCCTAAACCCTATAAACCCTAAACCTTAAACCCCACCATGCAAACCCTAGATCCCTGTAGCCTGAAGCCTGGCAGTCCGCATGAATTTCAATGCCTGAAGCCCCACCTTAGGGTTCAGGGTTCAGTGTTTTCGGGTTAATGCCTAAAGCCCCGCCTTAGGGTTTAGGGTTCAGTGTTTTAGGGTTAATGCTTAAAGCTCCACCTTAGGGTTTAGGGTTCAGTGTTTTCGGGTTAATGCCTAAAGCCGTGCCTTAAGGTTTAGGGTTCAGTGTTTTAGGGTTAATGCTTAAAGCCCCACCTTAGGGTTTAGGGTTCAGTGTTTTAGGCTTAGGGTTTATCGTGAAGCGAAGCGACTCCAGGCAATTCGTGCCTCCTTCGACACGCAAGCCTATCGCTATGCAGACGATGGTAGGTACTACACGGCCTCCCAGCCACTCGGCCCGTTAATGGGCTTCTGCTTTCACTTCAAAGCACTGAAAGGTTTAATGTGGGGGCCTCAATGACTACCCATACCATGTTGGAGGTTCTTTATTATAATTATAGTATACTGGATCTCAAAACCCTATTGTGATTATTATGGCCCGTACAGTTTACAGACTTTCAGGTTTTCCAGCGGTTTTGTCATTAAGACTTGAGGCCAAGACGAAAGAGGGTTGTTCAGATGGAGGAGTGCATGCTTTCTCTGTGAGGTCTTGGATCGGCAACTTTAGGTTCTTCGTTTTTGCGGTTTCCGGGAACAGGAGTTCGGGTTCAGGGTCTTATTGTTTAGGGTTTAGGGTTTAGGGTTTGGTGCAGGGTGCTCCGATCTGGGCGTATCAGGCACGGAGCTCATGAAGACCCCCACAAGTTGTTCTTACAGGACTTGGCTGCTGCCCCTAAAGCCTAAACCCTAAGCCCGTCTAAAAACTAAGCTCTAAACTCTAAACCCTAAGCCCATCTATACCCTAAGCTCGAAGCCCTAAACCCTAAACCCGTCTAAACCCTAAACCCTTGAACGCGCACCTTTTCTTCCGATCGGAGGTTCAAGGATTACTATCACGGTGATTGGGTCGCGAAGTGGACGCAAAGTGCAGTAGCACAGAAGGTCGGCTGCTCGTTAAAGTTGAGGGCTGATATGTAGGGGCCAAAATAATTACCAATACTATTTTGGGGCTTCCTTATTATATATGTACAGTAGAATGGGCCCCGAAACCTTATTAAGATTATTAAGGCCCCTATATTAGGGTCCTTAAGTCCTGAAGCATTAACAAAAAAAGCCATGAAGTGGACTTGTGAAGCCTAACACCCTAATCCCTAAACCCTATAAACCCTATAAGCCCTAAACCCTATAAACCCTATAAAGCCTACACCCTAAACCCTATAAGCCCTACACCCTAAACCCTAAACCCCGAACCCTAAACCCTAAACCCTAAATCAAAGCCGCAACAGCGAGGACTCTTGAGGCTTCCACAGTGGCCTCCGTCACAGTCCAGGCTCATCCCG